GAAAAACTTTCTTAAAGTTAAGGTAGTAGTAAACCAACAAAGTCTATAATCCAAGTTCTTGATGCGTATGAAAGACGCCGAGTATGCAAACAGAAAAAATAATTCGATGATCAACGTGTCAAGTTAGGAATGCTGTTCTTAGCAGATGCTGTTATACATGGAGGTCAGTTCAACAGCTCTAGTTTTATTGATGGCTTTGGTTGTCCCACTGAGAAACTGGCTGAATTCCCCAAAGAGCCCCAAGAGACTAAAAGTATTTAATTTCAATTTAGAGTATGAAACATTTTGTGAGCTTACGCAACCTAAACTTTTCAAAACGGAAGCGAATTGTTCTTTGGACAGAATTTTTAATCTTCTCTCTGGGTGATTTACCTTCCATTTTCAAATATAGTATCTTGGATATCCTGACAACATTAAATACATGAAAACGAGTGTGATATTAAGTATGTAACTTCTTGGTCATTTGACTGTGATTCAAAGTTGAAAACATTTGTGATATCTCAATAATCATGTACAATTTACTTCATTGTTTGCTTGAACGATTTCATTTACTTGTGGAGAAGAATTCAAACTCACTGTTTACTGGTTTTGATCGTCTATGACTCATGAATAAAAATTGTTTTTGCTTACCAACCATTTCATAATCTTCTCTATTTCCTTGTCACTGTACAGCTTTGTGACATCCGGTTAAATCCACTCCCTGACATATAACATTTGCAAGTATTGATATATCTGCTAAGTATTGCTTAATTTGATTTCAAAACTTAAAAACAAATGAAAAATGGATTTAATGGATAGTCTTTCTTCTTTCATCTCTACCAAAATGCTGATTGTCGTGTATATTTAGATTGCGTTTGGACAAAAGTTATAGCACAAAGAATGGAATCTATTATGTAACAAGATTTTGTTGTAGAGAAGTGTGCTAAGTGTGCTAGTGACTTAGATTCTCGTTTGACCAGTTTGACAGCCATTCATTCCCTAGTTTTCTCCTGTCTGCTAGCCCCATATCCAAGATGTTCCATGCACTGTCAATAGTTTTGCAGGTTTTGATTTAGTATGTTCACCATGATCCTTTTGGCATTGGGTTGCGAAAAAAAAATCATCTTTATCCTTACTATATTTCATCTTCAAATGTTTCTTCTATTTTACTGCGATGACATTCATGAGGCTAGTGCTCCCACGGTTTCTGCGATTTGAGAACAGTTAAGAATTATTTTGTTCCTTTTGATAGACGGCACATTTTAGCATAATTTGAAGGACATTGGCCCTCTTGTTACCCAGTTTCCTAGCTGATCACTTTTTCTTGTTAGGATTTAGAACAATTTTACTTTGTGTTCATGTACTTTAGCCGCAGCTGCGTTTGCATAGGAATACCAGCAGAGTGCGGCGATGACAGCGCACTCTTGATGGTGATCTGGTATAAACTTTGGACTAGACAGTTCTGCACCTACCTGCGACGTGGCAGGTAAATGAAAATTAGCCGCAGGGAGATGAATTGGAGATTTTATTGCACCATCTTTCCTTCAAAGCTTCGGATCAGTAATCGCAAATGTGCAGATATCACTCTAGACTGAAACAACAATAAAGTCAAAAGTTACAGTATTTTATGTTCGCTGATGGGTATTCCATTTCTGTGTCTAATTTTTATCATTAAGCTGTCAACAATAACAAAGTTTAGCAGAGTTTCATCGGTAAGAATTCCCCACCTTTTTAGGTAACAGAGCTGTGTAACCAAGGAAACTTCACCTCCCACTTTGGCTTATACCCTCTCTTTTAGGGAGTGGTGGGATGCTCAGTCAAGCTGGAGCTAGTGGTGGGGTAATATATTTTTTCGATTTTTGGTTTCTTCAGTACGTGTCTTTATTTCCACGTTCTTTAGCCGTTTCCTGTCAAAAGTTATATCTGATTGTAAGGTTTATTCCATAACTCTTTGCAAGATTTTGTATTAATGTCAACTAGAATGATAAGCCATATCTGGACCCACCAAACTCTCGTTTAGTTGAGTGACCGTTGATCATGTTCGCCTACACTTACACTAATGATATCTTTGTCACATCTTCATTTGGAAGCTCTTCAAATTGGCGACTCTTAAAATCTAACAAACTTTAAAAGGGCCTTATATAGTTAAATGGGTAGATGAATATTTTAAGATGTAAAATTAGTATTATCCACCTAAAGATCTGGAAATTCTTCGAACAAGCCACTCCACTCTAAAGGAATCTACGTATAGTTTCCCAAACCTTTAGCACTTGCACATAATATAATACTAAGTAGTTTTATTTTTTCAGCTAATCTGGCTTGGAAGGTAATCTTTTTCATTTCTTACTCAAACCTTTACTTTCCAACATGAATATTACCTTACAAAGATGAATCGAAGAGTATTTTGGTGTCGCCTCTACAACCTCTTTCCCACCATCTCTTGTAGTTTCTTAATCAACATTAAGATCGCTTGATGGTCTGGAAGACAGTTTCCTTGCTAATGCAAGCTCAAATCTTGTGTCGGTTATTACTAGGAACTGCTTAGCCTGAATTTAAGCCGCCCTTTTGCTCTCAAGTATTTCTCACCCAACATTCTGGGTATTACCTGTTTTGCGTTTTGTCCAAAACTAAGACTGAACCATGCTGTATAAAAATTTAAT